CAATCTATCCAAGACGCACGTCGCACATATTTACACTTCTGAATTTTCTTAAAATAGCTGCACTCGTGTGGACCCTCAGTTCATGCAGTGGTGGAACTAGAGATTGGAAAGCTGAACAAAATGGTCACCGATATTTCGAAGATTATCTGTTTCTTTCATCGTCACCAAAATTTGATTTATCTTGTTTCAATTCACGATACCATCGTTTGGTATTTACATGATTCACATAAGTGATAAACGAATATCTTGTTTTATCGAAGACTGGAACCTTTGGCACGATAATACACTACACTGTTTTACCACTAACCAAACCGATTTTTTAACGCCTCGACACGTGTTTCGCTAACTATGTTAGCATCTTCAGGAGAAGATTAAAACAGTTTTAATCTTCTCCTGAAGATGCTAACATAGTTAGCGAAACACGTGTCGAGGCGTTAAAAAATCGGTTTGGTTAGTGGTAAAACAGTGTAGTGGAATATCTTGTTAGTGATATCGAATCAAGCATCATAAACTTAAATAAACTCCTCCAAGATCTTCCTCCACGATATTATTGTGAGTTGTTCGATGTTTAATAGTTTCAATAATGAAAAATATTTATGATTATGGGCCTGCTGTAGTATATTTCTGGCACCACACTCTATATTATCATGGTATGCTTTTTAACCATCGGTCGCTTCAGTTTCTTGAGGAATTGGTGAAGATTCTCTCATCAAATTTAATTGAAATTGATTGTTGAAATTATATCAGTCATCACGTTGGAATATGTGTCAAACTAGTCAACCTGATTTACTCAGCTTATCGATCATTTTATAAAATATAATATGATTCGATGTCTCACGGTAGTCGGTACCAGAACAATATAATGTTCACAAGATATAGTTTTCGACAAATTTCAATATTTTTCACCGAAGTCCAGACTTCATGTTGTATTGCAGCGATTTGTATGTCCACTCTGCTTCATCAATAATTCGATTTCTCACATCATAAAAGAAAAACAGAAGATCCAAGCATAGTGATTTTGAAATCAGGTTATTGCAATCACTTATTAAATGGAAGATATCCACTGGCATGAGCAGGAAAATTTGAACACTCGTATTCTATATTCAATCAGGAAATATGCTAACAAGCAGAACAGGAAATTTTGGAGCTCACGAATTTAAATCCCAATTATGTTACAGGAATATTGTGCCTACCTCAGCAGAAACGTCCTGAGCTGGCTACCTATTCTAATCTTTCAATTTCTTGCAAATCTTTGTACTGTCTGTCTTTTGTCAATAGATTATCAACAAATAACTGTTCATTCAGGTTCCTGTGGATCAACTTCAAACATATCCACTTATCTGTTCTTTATGAAGAACAGTAAGATTATTCAATGTGATTTTTCCAGAAACTAGGAGTGACAACTAAACGAACTACCAGCTTCAGGCTCACTTTCAAGACCATAGAATATTGGTTATTGAAACAATTTCAATAATCATGACGAGCTCACACCCTGATAGGTCTCCACTTGAATTTTCGATATTTATTAGATATGGGGGAGTAACATTCTATATGGGTATAGCACTAATATATGACATTTGACCACTGTTCGAGTTAATAATATCCAGTACTTACCATAGTGGTCGTAGCAGAAGTAAAGTTTTTCGCACGCGACATCGTTTTTGTGAAGCACCTTTTGCGATAGATCTTACAAGATTATTCCATGAAAGAGTATTGCTGATGGAAATATCGAGCACATAGATATAGTGGACTTGGTAACACATTGATATATGAATCAGAAACAATCTAAGGTAAATACTGTCTGTAGGTTAATCGAGGAGTTGGTACATTCATTATTCCTTATTTTCTGGAATTTTCTCTTCTCTTTTGAAAAACAAAAATATGAAACTTATTCCAATATAAGTGTAGTAAGGAAAAATCAGATGATTTGCCCAAAAATGTTACTGCTCTTGAAAAATCTTCCTATCTGAGAGCCTGAAATAAAAATTCACTAGCTTGTCAGTGACGATTCGAATTGAAAAAGATTTGAAGGAGAGGAATGAACTTATATGGAAAAAATATCAAATTTTCACTTATCTTTGGATTCGGGCACAAATTTGCTCCCGTTTTCAAAATAAAAATGAATATTTGTATAGCAAAATTCGTATTCGCTTTGACACTTCTCAATTCTCAGTGACAATTGATGACGTTGGCAATCAATTGAGTTATAGGATGTTTTGATTATTCAATCTCGAATTCATCATTTTCATTTTAGGATTTCATTAGTGAATACCATACTGTATCTATATATCAACTGAACAGGAAGCAATGCTATTGTCTACGATATTGAAATCATTGGAAAAGAAGATAACAACCGGAATAGAGAAATCCAGGAATCTGCTTGTATTCTTCTGAACTGAGATAATTGCATTGCATCCTGTTCAGTTGATACGAATAGAACATGGTATTCAATACTGAAAGCTGCAAATGGAGAATTCAAGATTCGATAATGAAAACATTCTGTAAATCATTGTCACTGGGAAATGAGGAGTGTCAAGACGGATACGAATTTGCCATTAAAATATCCATTTTTTCTGTGACAAGAAAAAGGCATTTCATCTCTGTTAGCAGGTTATAAAATGTCACTTTTCATAAATTACTTTTTTCCCGTGGGGTAAAAATGAGTACTCTTTCCCGGATATATATCACAAATATAAACACTGTTCATGGCTTTTGTTGTACTATGGTTCCGAAAAATGAGTCAATAATGCCGTCTACGAGAAAGAACTGCTAGTCCTTTTATCTTCCATTCGACTTCGCGGTTACGTATATTACTAAACAACCACTGAATTCGCAATTTATTCAATCAAATCACAGAATTAGACTGACAGAAGTGACATCAAATATTTGATTACTTCAAAAGAATGATAAAGATGCCTACAACGCAGGTGTCCCTACTGATAAGAACTTTAAATTTCACTTCGATAATTTTCAGATTTCAAAATAATCTTCCCAATATTGATTCGCCCTTTCTTCTGTCACAGGAAAAAATATTTCATTATACACGAAAAAATATCAGATTTTAGCTCACGGTTTTCGTCTCCCTCCGCTACGTGTCGAGAGACAACACAACCTGAGCTAAAATCTACAACTTTCTTCCCTTGTATAATAATGGTATATTCTTCAACGAGCGTATAATGATAGCTATTATTCCCAAGGATATGATTTCGAAACGAGCAGTAGGCGAGTTTCGGAATTATCCGAGAGAATAATAGCTATTATACGCGAGTAGAAGACTATACTTTCTCTACGACTATACGATAGTCATAAATTCAATGTAATTTAATTATTATTCATGAATATAATATACTTGATGTATGAATTTTATTGATATGATAATACAGAAATCCTAAATATAAAACGAACTCAATGATGAAACAACACAATAATTATTAGGTCAGTGAATTATATGTTTCTCGTACTTAGTGACTTAATTTTTAGTGATATTCTCACAATTCGTGAAATTTCACTGTTGGTGTTGCATTTAAATCAACATTGACATTTTTATTCATATTGCTAGTTGATGTTTTTGTGTGAAGGAACTCTTATTTGATGATGATGAACATTGTTCGAATCATTGAAGAATTCGAATCTGCCGTTTTTTTTCTTTGTTCAACATGGAATCTTTTAAAAATCCTTCTGCCACCGATGTGCTCTTCCAGCCACCATGTCTTTTCAATGCTGTTATACCTCCACCTGCATTGACAAGCAAAGCGATGCTCGGTGTACAGGCTATTCCACATAACATGGGCCACTAGAATAGATTGAAAAGGAATTGAGGATTGAATTTGTATATGGATAATCCGATATAGTTGACATTATCTGAAAAAGAGGAATCATATAACTATGAACAACTCAGATTCCCAATTTTGTTCGTATCTCTTGAACTTCTCAGTTTACTAGATAATGGGCTGGCTCATGTTATGTGGGATACCCTGTACATCTCGGGATTTGGTAGCTTCAAAAATGTAACTATTTGTTTTTCCATTGCTGCAAACTTATTAATTTCCATTTTCAAAAGAGTATATTTTTCTATTCGGTAATTCATGAAAAAATTGGAAATCCCAACATTTGCTGCTCGTATATCAATGTACTTTTTACAAAATTGATGAAATTTCCCGGTTACAGTGAACCTCCTTACAATTTTTGATTTGGTCTCAGGAATAGTTATCATCCATGGAGATCCAAGATCTTGAATATCTTCAATATTCATAGAGTGCATTTCTATGGAACGGCAAGCCTCCATTATATCCTCCAGATATCAAAGTTGAAACTTAAAAGACTCTATAAGTCAATCTGACATTCGCGAAAGTCAAGCCGTGACGTGACCCGTAAAATGAGCAGAGATTTATTCAGGAATTTCTTTGGTAGATTTGCTGGTTTTTCATTAGTCTAACCTTTTCAGTTGCTGTGGATCCTAAAAATTCTGAATCTGTGATTGGTCGAGTGCCGTTGAAATCGTTGAATAATGAGTTGGGATCCACGGTGTCTTGGAATCATCTTCATTCATCAATTACTAACCTATATGTAATCAATGTAGGATACGATAGTCGTAGAGAAATAACTATTCTTATGTTGAAAACGAAAGCAGATTCATTCCCGGAACGTCCAAAGATAAGTGAGAATTCGAAATTTTTTCTATAAACATTCATTTTTCTTTTTCTTACCTTCTTCATCAATACAAATTATCACTGACAAGCTAGTGAATTTCTCTTTTAGGCTCTCTGATAGGAAAATTCTTTAAGCGCAGTGACATTTTGTAGCAAATCATCTGATTCGTCGTAACTACACGTATATTGAAGTAATATTCATATTTTCATTCTATAGAAGCATGAAGAGAAAATTCCAAACAGTCTGGAATAATGGACATTCTAAGGTGTTCTGCAATTGACGCCACTGTGTTCCACCGATAGAAACAGTCCAACCCGAACTTTAATTTTGTCAATTTCAGCTCCAGTATGCAGGAACGCGTTTCAGCTGCGCTTTCGGAGCATTTTCCAACATTGAAATCGGTCACCGGCCACGTTAATAACGGCATAAATATTAGTGATAATGCGATTTGAATTCTTCGAAAGAGTGCTCTTGTCACGGAAATTGTGTTTACTGTGCCTTCTATGCCATTTATATTTATGAACGGAACTTCAAATCCATTAAATTAGTATGGTAATGAAATTCGGATACGGTTTATTTTGATTTTCCTTAGGAAATGACTTTGAATAATTGGTTTATTTTATTCCGATTTTAATGGGATTTGGTAGAGTGTAGCGACGTTTTACTGTTTCCCAATGTTATTTAAGTTCCTTTTTCCAATCACAATGCGATAAAATATGATATTCTACTAGAACTCAGAAGAAAATTCACATTTCCAAAAACAATAGTAGGTATTGGTTTCAAAAATATTATATTCTTCGAATTTCTTCGAAGTATTATCCAAAGGATTCTGAACCCCTAAGATTTCAAGGTAGTTCTCCTACTATATGAATATTTTTCTTTCAACTCTTCCCCATAGGTATATGATGATAAAAAAAAGAATACTTTGGAAATGATAACACATCTGGAAATATTTTATGCGAGATTTTATGTGTTATTGTAACCCATTGAATTTTCTGATGTTATCATTTTACTATTTCCATCATCTGATTGTCGATTCATGTTCACTGCCTCAAATAGCTTTTCCATTCAATATCCATATGTGGGTACCTAATATGTTGAACAGAATCATCAAAAATGATACTCGATCATAGGTACTGGGTACGAATCTTCCAAATTCCATTGATAATTTTTATACTACACGAAATATTCACAATCAAACAAATATATGAGAACAGATGATCATTTCTTCTTCTTTATCTAGATACTGCTATACAAGTGTGTCCCAAAATTACATAGGAAAATTTCAACCACACATTCCAGGAACTGAAATAGTAAAGAAAGTTCATAAAAACATTACCCCTGGAATGTCCCTTGGGGAGTTAAAGCCATCTGAAAGAGGAAACAAGATGATATTTTTTTGTAATTATCTTCATGTTATGTTAGTATATAATTTTTTATGCACGATTCGGAAATGTTGAGAATTCTCCGACATGTTGATCAGGGGCGTGAAAAAAGGTTGTGCTAAGAACATTCCTTTCCCCAACTTTTTTTCTATGCAATTTTCGACAGTTGGACCAGGAAATATGAAATTATCATTATTTTTACCCGAAAATGATTTTCCTGATTAGTTTCTATAGCACTTGGAGAATTTTGAGAGTCTGCTGCCTAGCAAGAATGCTGCTTCTTCCTCAGCATACAGTATACCTACCAAATTTTCCCAAAAATTAGTTTTCGATGAAAAATTACTTTCATCAACATCTACTCGTGATGATCAACTCAAAATATGGAAAAAACAATAAAGAGAATCATTTGTAAAGTATTATGGTAGGTACCTTATTAAGAAAAAGTACTATTTGAAAGAAAGTTGGGCGAAAAAATGTCCCTTGCCCCACCTATTTTTCGCGCCCCTGATCAAAATTTCGCAAAATTCTCAACATTTCCGAATCGGGCATGATGAGTTATTTTCATTCGCAGAATCCGTTATCTCAACAGAGAGATTTTTAGAAATATTCACAAAAAAGCGAGAAAAACACCATCATCTTGGGCCCTCTTTCAAATTGGTATAACTCCCCAAGGGGGTATTTGTGAGCTCAGGTTTATTTGAATTTTTTTTACTGTTCGTGTTTCTAGAAACTCTGGTTGGTATATTTTTATGTAATTTTAGGACACCCTGTATATCACACTTTTACGTTCTGGAAAGGTCACCAGAGTTCTATAGCAGCATTAATGTTCAATCGGAGACATGCCTTTATCATCAGGATACTATCGGAAACTATATATACCAGATGATACAATTTGGACCTTTTACCCTCAATAATTTTCAAAAAATGATTCCATATAAAACTGCCGGAACATGTTGATTTCTGTTCAGATGTTCAAACAGTTCGACGTGTGAAAGGTCTTCCACAGTGTAGTTAGCAGATCAACTCCCACGACAATTGCAATACAGAATTGAGGTTCGTGTCATACACCATTGGGAAATAAATTGAACATCTACATTAGCAGTACAAATTATTCAGAATTCGAACAAAACGTTCCCAAGATATCTGCGTTATTCCTTTGATTGTGGATGATTGAATATACGAAATGAATAATTGGAAAATTGGTTTACAAAAATGAACTAATTATAGTTCATTTACACCCAAGCAATATAAAATGTTCTATTACTCATTCGAGATAGTTCATCTGGTAATATTATGGCATTTGATAATCAGAAATATAGAAAAGATTTTCAGATTCCAATCGAGAAAAATCATTAGGTGCTAAGTCTAATTGGCGAGCTGGACATTCAATTGGTTCCGATTGGTCCTCTATAACCTCATCGTTTTTTCCGAAAATGTTGGTACTGCCAATCTCTCATTAGTAATGAGGAATGAAATTTGGCCACACTATCTTTGAATATAACAATAAAATTGAATCAATTCATGTTTCGTGAGCACATCGCTAATTATCCATTTCGTACGTTATTCACATATACTCAAAGTCAAGAATATTGTACAATCTGAACTCGAATAAAATATGTCGTGAAATTCGAGAATATTATTTGTATTGCAAGTATCAGTGTAAAATCACCTCCACAGGAATGTACAATGAAATCATATTCTTTTATTGAAGTTAGAGGAAATGGTGAGGATGCGGAAATCAAAGTAGATATGCGTAATAGTTTTAACACGTCAAACGGTCCCACCCATCTCACAAGAATCTATATGTTTTACCGTTTTTTTCTGAAAATCATCTGTTCGAGAATTATCGAGGAGTAAACCGTGGTGAAATTCGAGTGAACAAGCAACTGGAATCCCTTGGTAATCCTTGAATTTCCTTGGAATTCTTTGGAATCCTTCCAAAGACTTAGCTGAAGGCAGGCTCAAAAGTACCCTGGATTTCCTTGAAATTCCTTGGATTCTATCGGAATTCTTTGAAATTTCTCGGAATTCCTTGGATTTCCTTGGGATTCTTTGGAACTCTTCCATATTCTCAGCTGAAGGCATGGTAAGGAGTTTCCTGGATTTCCTTAAACTTTCTTGGAATTCCTTGGATTTCCTTGGAATTTCCTGGAATTCATCGGAATTCCTTGGAATTCCTTGGAATTCCTTGAAATTCCTTGAAATTCCTTGAAATTCCTTGAAATTCCTTGAAATTCCTTGAAATTCCTTGAAATTCCTTGAAATTTCTTGGATTCCCTTGGATTTCCATTGAATTCCTAAAATTTTCTGGAATTCTTCAATATTTTCAGCTAAAGGCATTCTCAGGAGTTCTCTTGATTTCTTTGTAATTCTTTGGATCTGTTTGGAAGTCCTTGGCATTTTTGGATTTCTTCAAAATTCCTTGGATTTCCTTGAATTTCCTTGTAATTTCTTGGATTTCTATATTATTCCTTGGATTTTTATGGAATTCCTTGCGAAAATGAAGTTTAGTGTACAAATTCTCGACCGCGGTTAACCCTTTGAGGATTATTGAGGGTGAGTCGAGGGTGAGTCACGTGGTATATGATTGATGATTATATCGCATTCAAATTATTACGAAAATCGAGTTCATGATGATTGTATATGTGAATTGAGACTATAAAAATGACTTGATATAGGGGAATTTCTCGGGCAAGACCTGAAAATGAAATTCACAATTCACAAAAATAACCTGATAGCCTGATGAACTGTTGATGGGAATCTTCTGAACCATTATTCAAATTCAACCTACCATAACTCTATAATAGTGATTGGTTGTGAGCCCGGCCAAAAATATACATTTATCAATATAAAAACCAATAACGAACGAGACTATTTTCCTACCGAGTGATGACTTGAAGTGAAATTTCAAAATGCCCTACATCATAAAGTCCCTCACCATCATAATGACGCTGTTCGCCTTCACCCTGGAAGGATCCTCCGACCCAGGCCAAAACGACTACAGCAACCCCTACGTTAAGTACACCAACATCATCCACCTGAAACAAGGTATACTCCAAGGCACCGTTGTGGAGCCCAAGCTGGGCAGGAATGTACGGAAACAGGTGGGCGTGTTCAAGGGTATCCCCTACGCTGCTCCGCCCGTGGGTGACCTGAGGTTCATGTACACCAGGGGGGCGCCATCTTGGTTCGACGTCAAGGTAGCGGACACCTTCGGACCGGTTTGCCCGCAGAAGTTTCCGGATGAGAAGACCATGTCGCCGTATAGGAAGGAGTATTTCCTGAGGCTGAAGCAGTATTTGATGAATCAGAGCGAGGACTGTTTGTATCTGAATATCTACACCCCTATCTCTGGTGAGTTGGCTATAGCTTCATACATATTATTATCTAAACATTGTTTCTTCACCTGGAACATATTTTGAGGAAGTCCTTTCCCCTTTTACTTTGAAACAGAACAGGTTAGTTAGGTCAGGTGAAATTCAGGTAAGGAAATACACTTAAGCATGAAAATGGTCACGTGACCTAATGTCAAGGGGGCACCATCAACTTTGTTATTCAAATGTGAAGGAGGATCACGTGGTACATGAATTTGAATGCCTTTATAAGAAGCAAACCTCAAGCCGTTTTGCACTAACCTGACCACAAACATTTTCATGCCTTAAAGTATTGAAACATGTACATTTCCACCTGAATTTCACTCGTTTCGTTTAGGAGTTGAAAGAAAGGGAGATTTTTTCACGTCCTCACTGTATATTAGAATTGATTGCTGGTTCTTGATTCGAGGTCAAATCATATCAAGTAGAAATGACCCTATCATAATGATGGAAGTACTGTATCCTCGATGTGAATTAGGAATTACATATTCATCTTCAAAATATACAGGGTGATCCACGGTGGATGGCCTATTTGAAGTATCTGGAGAACGGAAAGACAAAACATTCTGAAAATTGGAATGCTTTGATAGTTGAAAATTCTCTATCCATCTAAAATATCTCCATCGATACAGTGTTGCCATTTCTATCAGAAACAGCTAGCAACTTTGTTATTTCCAATGAAGCACCCTGTACTTTATTGCATTTCTTGATTCTTCTCAGAGAGCTGATTTCATCATATTTGGGGTCTATCAGGAATGATAACAGAGATATATAGGGTGTTCAAATTTTAAATTTTCCAATTTTAGGATTTTTTCGTGTCAAAACTCACATGTCCCAATCTTAACCTTTCGATTCACTATCTACTGACATTCCATTGGGACAGATACAGGGTGAATCATGAAGCAATCTGTATTTTTCATATTGAATTCCAGTAGATAGTGAATCAAAAGTTGAAATGGGTACATGTGAGCCGTTTTGATCGATAATGAATAGTTTCGACACAAAAAAATCCTAAACTTGAAAAATTTTGAACACCCTATATCTCTGTGATCATTCTTGCTAGACCCCATGTATGATACATTGATGAAAATACAAAAATGCAATGAAATACAGGGTGTTTGCCTTCAAATAACAAAGTTGCTAGTTGTTTCTGTTGAAAGTGGCAACACTGTATCGATGAGAATATTTTAGACGGATAGAGAATTTTCAATTATCGAAGCATCGCAATTTTCAGAACGTTATGTCTTCTCGTTCTCCAGATACTTCTAATGGGCCATCTACTGTGGTTCTCCCTGTATATTGCTCCAGTAGGGCTAGGAAAAATGTTTTTCAGAAATGCTATATCTATCATCAGTCTCAGAAAACTTAGAAGAAAATAAAACCTTGTTGAAGATGAAATTATCATAACATCAAATTTATCATATTCGAAGATAAATATACAATATATTTTGAAGAGAAGGGCACTAATTTGCGACTCCACAGCATGTTGAAGCCGCCGTTTATTTGTCATAATTGGGTATGATAAGTTCCATATCATTTGAACAATGAGATAAGGGTAGTATGAACTGTTGAGGTGTTTATCCTGTTATAATATGGCTGAGTGCCAAGTATACTGCGCCTTCAATCAATCTTCATCAAATGTGAACAAATAAAAAATAATTATATAGAACGCAAAACTGGAAAGTTCAATAAATACTTCAGATCTGATCTATTCAACATCTATTTGAATAAACTGTTACGAATTGGTCATTCTACGAAGCGGTAATGATGATGTTACATTCCATAATTCATTTATCACGTACTATCTCAGAAGTGAATCATAGACATCATAGAATCTCAACTACGAAATAACCATCACATTGCTCAAAGTGAAATGGAAGGTTGAATACATACAGGAAGCTCTAAGTCATCCACAAATGTTATGAAGGAAGGAAAACAACTACTTTCATGGCCAATGCTACGCAGAACATTGAATTTCACCCTTCGAAAAACTATACATCGATAAGTAAAAACGAATACTGATGCAGGTGTTTCCTTCCCTAATGCCGATTGATATCTATCCAGCCAGGTTAACGCTATGACACCTACATACCGGTTTCAAGATTTTTTGACTCTCCTCAGTGCAGGGTAGTCTCCAACCAGCAGTCCGAAGACCGCCGGCTAAGCGTAACCTGACCCAACAAATTTCAAACGGCAGTTAGAGGAATATCCTGTGGGCACAGGTGTGTCACACGGGTTTAACGCCATCTAGACCATATACAAGGAAAGAAACACTCCACCAAACTGCAATACCCAAAAGTGGGAGTGACTGATTGCTCAATTGTCGTAAATTCAACTACAAAATAGCCACAATGCTCAGTGGAATGAAACGTTGAATGAATACAAAAAACTCTAAGTCATTTCTACAATCGTTCATAAAAGGTAGTTCTTCTCGTCATCTTCCATTGATGTTGATCATAAATATATCCATGAACTATATTTCCCGTATAATGTTCACAAAATCGTGGATCGTGAGTTGGAAAAAATGCCCGCATGATTCAAGAACCATATATAGAAATTAGAAATCCCCACCGATGAGTTCTAACTCGATTGTAATTTTGTTTACTGATTTTTCGTCAGAACGAACTGCCTTCAAGTTTCTTCGACCAAGAGATCTATTTTCATCAGTACCCTCATTGAAAACTATAGTATTCTGCAGGAGCAGGATGTATTTTTCTCGAATCAGTCTTTTTAAGTGGCCTCCAATATGAGTATTTTTTTGATATGGTATGCCGAAGTCATTAGTGATGAAACCCAGAGCCTCCGTAGGACACAACAATACAACAACAAAATGCTGAGACAAGTCTAATAGGTACTCCATTATCATCAGTAACCTCATTGAAAACTTTTATTGACAAACTATAGTATTTTGTAGGTGTCTCTTCAAGTTGCCTTCAATATGAGTATTTATTGGATTTGCTATACCGGAGTCATTAGTGATGTAAACTGCTCGAGAACGAAACTGATAGCCCTACACTCAGAACCTCCGTAGAACACAATCCAACAACAAAATGCTAAGACAAGTGTAATAGGAACTCTACTCCACGATATAAGTCAAAAAGATGGAGATCAATGCAGCAACTCAGGTGCTATGAGTTGACCTATGCTGAGCCTTGACACTGGGTTTGCTGAGGTGGACTAGCGGTTTGGATCAGTGGCGTGCTTTACTTTTCCCTTTTCCATTGTTCTGAAACTGACTGAATTGGAAAGATTTTGTTTCAATTTGCTATAAATGTCTCATATTCTTTGAATCTGATGACATTTACCCATCCTAGATAACTATTCAGAACTAAATAGTATGACGCTGCATTTTCTCTTTCTTATTATATAAGGTCACTGTTTCATCCCCATTATTTATTCAATGTCCTTCAATTCTTCAATTCATTTGAATCCGTCATTTGCATTTGATTTCGATTTCATATAATTTTGGGAAATTCGTGAAGTAGTAGAAAGTAATATTTATTCATTGAGATGAAAATATTGCAGCAAATATTCTACATCAAAATAATCGCTCATACATGAACATTATGTTATTGAATTAGTTATGACTAATAGCGACTGTGCGAACCCCTAATTTAATGGAAGTGTTGGCAATCATACGGTCGGTTAGGTCTCATGCAGGAGACCTCGGGCTATCAAGATTGAGAAGATTGTTTGTCTAATCGTGGTACGTCAGGTAGCTCTGTGCTGCTGAAATCTATTATGAAAGACGGATGTGATAGAGCCAAAATTGATGCCGGTACATTCAGGTCAATTTTATTATTGATGAGTATTGCAAGTGATATGGAATTTTGTTATGATAATGAATTCAACTGACATTTGAACATTCAAATCATTCAATGTTCGATGGAAATAGTTAAGATGCCGCTCGATGATATAATTTTTATAGAGGAATCATCGTGAAACGACATTATGAAGGAGCATATCTACTTTCAAAGTCATATTATTGTAATTTGATTTGAAAACATACACGGATGAACAGTTTGAAAGTGACGATGTCCCACAAAACAAATTCCTATAATACTCCCATTCCTGCAAAGTGGTTTGATAAACCTCATCTACTATTTTCATATCTCAAGATCATTTTCATTTCACATGACAGATTTCTGATATATATAAAGACAGGCTTCATGAAGAACACTTTATCCGAGAAAGACATCAACTCTTTCATACATAAAACATCACCTGATAAAGAATACTACGGAAATGGAACAAAAGAAAACATTCGATAGGTACAAATACAATAGAGAGTTGAAGTGTTGTCATGAACGTTAACGTAAACGTAGAAATTGACAGCTACGCATGCGCATTTTCCAATTCTTCACGTTCGCGTTGTTAGTGGGCTTACGGGTGTACGTTATCTCACGTTCCTCCACGTATACCTTAAATATCAACGTACGTTAACCAAAATATACTCGAAATATGCCGATGAGTCTAAATTATCAAATTCGAGATCACCAACGAGAACTGCATCTGAAGTCCTTCAATTTTGACAGGAATAAATGTTCGAATGTCAACACACAACCAAAAATGACCAATACAAACCGAAAACAAAATGTATCATTACATTATATGATGACAGTGACGACCAAAGTGGCGACTCCAACTCAATTTGACGACAATACGTAAACGTTATTTTTCGTACGTTAACGTCGACGTGGAGGTCTACGTACAGTGATTACTTCAACTCTCTATTATTGGGAATCATGCTGATGACAATATTCTCCAGGAATATTAATTGATTATCAATTGAATCAACATAATCGAAAATATTCTGGAATCGATCCAATTTTGATAATACCTTCAATTTGTATCTTTTATTCATGAGTTTCATTACGATATGAGAAAAAAATAGAAATTTTTTTCACTTTTCAACCTGTGAAATAACCGAAAATCATAGTTGTATGAATAAGTTCCCCTCGATATTATTATATCTGATTT